GAAAAAGCCAGAAATGAGGACAGGGGACTAAGGAGAAAGCCCATGGGTGCATGCACATGGCCCCATCCTGGAATCTGGAGCAGGGTAGGGGATACAGGCAGTGAAACAGCTCCATTCCCTGGCTGGCCTGCCAAAGTGACATCACGGAAGCCTATCCGTCTCAGGTTTTTAGCCCTAAAATCTCAGGGGGTGGGATAATGCTGACATTAGCAACCTTAGTTTCAACAGGAGAACTATCAGTACCTGGAACTGTTCAATGAAGCTAAATTGGGAGACAGACAAAAGGAAATACTTATTCACAGAGCACATAATTAATGAAGCCAGACCTACCATTAGTCAGAGTGAGGCAACAGGTTTTGAATATCAAAAAAGGTCAGCAAATATATTTATTTAGTTAGTTGTTTTATTCCCTGAGGTTGGGAAAGATATGCCTGGTATTGCATGCTGCCATAGAAGGGTGCATAGACGGACCCTCCCCAAAGAGTAGGAAGCATTGTGAGTGCACTTGGGCATTCCCTAGGCAATGGTGTGCAGCCAGGCAATCCTTCACCTTTCAAAAACATTGTACTGCAAACCTGCTGATGAGCAAAATGACTTAACGGTCCTTTTAGGACCACAAATGCCAATCGTTTCTACATTTTAATTTATTTTTAATTTTTACCTCTATTTCATATACGCCCATAGTTTTAAATTGTGCAACACTCTGATACACATAAAGAAAGGCAGATTAGAGTATGCAGCACCTTGACTTTGTGCAACACTCTGATACACATAAAGAAAGACAAATTAGAGTATGCAGCACCTTCTTGACTCAGGTGAATGGAGGGCAGTTTCCTGCCTCACCCCAGGGAGCAAAATGCCTTGAACTGGGCTGATTATCAAACCATGGGAATGGATTTTTTGAGAGGCAGTTTTGATCTTCAACTTGGAAGGATTGCGAAGTGAATCTGGTAAACTAACAGAACCTAAAGCTGTCAGTGGCTGCTGTCACAACAGCTATGCACTGTTTCCAGTTTCAGAGACAGCATGCCTCCAAAGACCAATTGATGGGGAAAATAACTAAGAAGGTGCCGTTTCTGATTCGGCGCTTCCCATAGGTATCGCTGTTGGCCATGGAGGGGCAAGGGGTGACAGAGGTGAGATTGGCTGTTGGTCTGCTGTTAAGTCTTCACAATTTAAGAAGGGGGCAACAGGAAGTACAAATGACTCATGTTTCTCCTCCTACATGTACGTGTACTGAAAATAACACAAATGACTCCAATAGGAAATAAATAAATAAAATGGCCTGTGCAGAAATAATTGTGTTCTTCACTTGCTACAACCAGGGCCATAGATACTTTATCACTGTCAACTATAAATAATGGCCTCTGTGGAAAACAAGTGCAAAATATGTATTATGAAAATCTGTCTCCCATTTAATGGGTATTTCTTGGGAATCTATCCAGCTCCATTGACAGGCATACAACTTTTCTCCTCTGCTTTCCTGGGGACTGGGGATATCTTTCTATAGTGTAGAATTTAGACATTCTCTTTCTACCATTGAAAAATGTGCAATTGCCTATTATCTGTGTTGCAATGTTTTGAACTCTGGTTAAATTCCCCTAGCTGCGCCGCAGAAGTACAGGGTTTCACAACACAGAATAGCTTAAAGTTCCCCACATAAGTCTACCCCATTAACGGCACTTATAGCCTCAATAACTCACTTGGAGACATTACTCATAAGAGTTTCATTAACTTACAGTGACAAGCATGATTGTTCTCAGCAACAGACATCAACAGACAGACCTCCAACACACAGGACAGGGAAAAAGAAGCAGAGCAGATAGGTGGGGCTTGCTTGTTTCATTAATTAATTAATTAATTATACTGCTCCATAGTGCCAAGCAGGAAAGGAACAGTTGGATAGTGCTGGATAGATTGATAGTCACCCCAGCTCAGAAAGATCCCTCCCAGCCAGCCCTACTAAAAGCAGCATGCAAGGTTGCAAAAATTCCAACAGTTTGTGTCACTGGAAATCCAGTACAGTCGTGCCCTGCTTAACGATTACTCTGTTTGACAAATCCGCTTCACGACGATGTTTTTGCGATCACAATTGCAATCGCAAAACGATGTGTTAATAGGGTTTTTTCACTTTGCGACAATTGATTCCTTGCTTCGGAAATCGATTCTTTGCATTACGACGATCAAAATAGCTGATTGTCGGGTTTTCAAAATGGCTGCTGGCTGCTCAAAATGGATCCCTGCTGTTTTTAGGAGGCATTTTTCTCAAGACAGGCACCCGAAAATGGCCGCTGTATGGGGGATCTTCACTGGACGAGCAGGTATTCAGCTCATTGGAACGCATTGAACGGTTTTCAATGCATTTCAATGGGCTTTTTAATTTTGCTTTACGTTTTCTCTCTACAGCGATTTCGCTGGAACGAATTAATGTCGTCAAGCGAGGCACCACTGTAATCTCTTCTAAGGAAGTCCATTTGATCATGTGGTGCTGTTTATGTTACAGTTTTGTTTGCAGCCCCACATGCTGATTGTAGTTTGAGTGATTAGGAGGGGCTTTCCTTGGCTGGGACGATTGTCTATCCAGCACTAAACAACCATTCCTTCCAGTCTTAAATTCAAAGGAAATCTAATCTACTGAGTGTTCATTCCCTCTTTCTTCTGGGTTGGTGTCAGTTGTTTTGTTTGACTGCTAAGTATTATGCCGTAAAGAAAGGAGAACTTTCAAGTTTGTAAACTCAAGCAACTGTAAATAAAGAAATGCCTTTTAGTCTTTCTCCTACAAATGTCTCAGAGTAAGTTACTGAGACTTTAAGTGCTAGTTAATGAAATTGCTGGACTATCTTGGAAATTTGTAACTATCCTCCTCTGTGAATCTCTATACTTCTATGGTGTAGCAAAAGGAGTTTTATCAGAAATTCAGAACTCTGCAACAGTGATCTTTGTATTCCAGGAAGGATACAACTGGATGCTGTGGGAAAGCATAATTCCCACCACAGTTAGTAGGACTAAAGGGGGATAGTATGTTCCAGGTTGTTTTTTATTACTATTAAAAATCCTCCAAATTTGCAAGTTTATTTGTCTTTAGAACAGAAGACGCTTCAGTGTGTACATTTTAGAAAAAATATGTTCAAATTGAATCTGGTAAACATTGAATAAGAAAAATGTGTCCATCTAAGCTCAGGGCTTCAGGCACTTAACTCATGAAAGTCTGTGTTTGAATCCCTGCATATTCAAACTTTCAATCCTTTCAGTACTTCACTGAGGTTGCCATTACCTTTTTTTTTTTCTTCCTGTGAGAATCTTTGATATCATTCTTTGCCCTGAGAACAAATGCAGCAGCCTGTAGCCTGCTCCTGGCAGGGAAGAAAATAAATCACGTTTTGTTTTTTTTTGAAAAAGCAAAGCAAAGCGTGCTGCTTATATCCCACCCCATAGCGCTTCAAGCACTCTCTGGGCGGTTTACAAGTTAATTATGCAGGCTACACATTGCCCCCCCACCCAGCAAGCTGGGTACTCAATTTACTGACTTCGGAAGGATAGAAGGCTGAGTCAACGTTGAGCCGCTACCTGGGATTGACCCCAGGTCGTGAGCTCAGTTTTGGCTGCAGTACAGCGGTTTAACCACTGCACCACAAGGCTCTCCATAAACTATTGCCAGTCGTGATATAAGCTCTATGATGAGTGTGAAATGCTGAGCTGGTTTTCTTGCTCTCATATCCTCCTGCTCCCAGACAAAGGAAAGATCTAAAAAGGCATCTATCCTCCCAGAAGCCAACAGCTGACAGAAACAACTAGTAAGGCAAAGATTCTTCCTTGACTTACAGTGTGGTGAGCATTAGTCCATAGTGAAGATAGGGAGGTGAAGCGACATCTTTTGAGAACCATACACTAATTATAGAAATGTTTGTCATGCGTTTCCGTCCTTATTTCTTGAGTCTTGTTGGGTCCTTGGAAATTTCATATTTTAGACTGAATGTCCTTCGTGCTACAACTAGCATTTAGTCTAAGTATGTTTGCTAGCTCCAAGGAGAATAAATTCATTGGATCATCTGCTGAAATGTTAAATTATTACTCATTAAAATACTGGCTAGGTTGGCGGGAGCTGGGACAAGTGACGGGTGCTCACTCCGCCAATCTAGCGGTTCAAAAGCATGCAAATGCAAGTAGATAAATAGGGACCACTTCGGTGGGAAGGAAACAGCGTTCCGTGTCTAAGTCGCACTGGCCATGTGACCACGGAAGATTGTCTTCGGACAAACGCTGGCTCTATGGCTTGGAAACGGGGATGAGCACCGCCCCCTAGAGTCGAACACGACTGGACAAAATTGTCAAGGGGAACCTAAAATACTACTAAGTCAATGGGTCTAATTGAGTTCCTGTCCTACTAAAGGTTAGAGATCATTATGGCTAGTGTGTCTTCAGATGTGACAACTCTAAATGATGATGTTCACTGCTTCCAACCTAATCTTTAAGAGTTTGCACCTAAGTTCTTCCTCTTACTGCAATTCTTTTCCCAATTACTTTGTTTTGAATGGCCATCTGTAGCCATCTGTATTTTTCATTTCTCTTTATGTGACCTCTGTAGTCTAGGCTTTCTAGAATTTTATATGGTTTATGGCTTTTTGGTCTTTATTCATTTAACCTAGCACATCTTCATTAGTCATCCTCTCCATAGAAAATATAAATAAATCCAGCATTCAATGCTTCTATCCTTTTTCCAGAATAGTCTATATTAAAACCCATAATTCCATGCCATTTGGCAGAACTGAGCACACACAAACCATGAAATGCACACTGATACTAAGGGTTTTGTTGTTGTTCTTGTTCTTGCTGCATATTACATTCTGAATCTTAAGATTTTCTAACCTGATCCATTCTGGGACACAATTCTTAATGTCCTTGATTAGAGAAAGCACAATATTCAGGACACATCTAATAAATAAATCAGCACTATTTGGAAAGAATATATATATATATATATTTAGACAAGTTTTAGTCACTTGAAAATAATATAGATGGTTGCCATTACATTAAAAACTCAGTAATACTAGAAGGATATGGGGCTGAGGAAGTAGGGAATAATGGAAAGTATGGGGTTCAGAAAAAAAGGAGAGAAATAATTTTCTTTAATTAAGGACTTCTCTCTGTTAAAGACATCAGTCTTTGTTACCTGTCAGACGTCAGAGCGAACATTCATTCAGTGCCAATACGGCTTATAATATCAATCAGAGTGCACAGTACCATTTACATATATACAGAATGTGAGGTATAATATATCACAAAGTGTAGAATATTCAACAGCTGGTACAGAATATCTAGAATATCTATAATTCCACTGAGCACAGTGGAACGACACCACTGAGACTAAAGTCTTTCCCCAGTGATGCACACACTTGCACGCACAGATGCACACCCATGCACACAATACAATACACACTCATGTCTGAGGTAATTTTTTCCCTTAAAATGCCTATTATCAGTGCTCACAGTTGACCCAGCACACCGAGGAGAGGAAGAGGAGGTAGGAAGAAGCCAACGGTGATGGTGGAAGAGACTGCTGAATGGGGACATGAGAGAAGAATCCCCACTCAGAGTGAATGAGGACAACATTTCCAAGGCAAACTATACTGCAAATTAAAAAAAATCTAATTAAAAGAAAGCACTTCTATTATCCCCAGTTACAGGTCTGCCCTATGTAGATTTACTTGACTATAAACAACCACTAACTTAATGCTAGTTACAGGTTTTACAGCCCATTTCTATGCATGCCTGCTCAAGTAAAATTTACAGCATTGAAGCGGGCTTCTTCTCACCTAAGAATCCAAAGGATTACAGCTCCTTTTTTAAACAAACCTACACTGGATTGGACCCTTTCAACACAGTTTTATATAGGCTTACCCAGAAGGAGGTCCCACTGTGTACTGGTAGACTTACTTTACAGCATTCAAGGTTCAGTATGAGAAAGCCATAATGGGCCATCAACACTGATGAGGAAAATTACTTTTTTGGATTACAACTTTCAGAATCCCACAGCCATCACAGCCACCAGCCCAGCTGGCTAATCTATTCTGGGATTCGTTGTCAAGAAAATAACTTATACTACCTCATCTAACAAGATAGATTATGAGACCTGGTGTTGAATATTCCCTGCGGCTGCGAAGAACAGAAGCATTATGAAGGCAATTGGCATAGGAGGTGGGTGAGATTTGGAGGGTACAGAGTAAAATCTTCCATACTGGCTTTCATCTAAGGATCACGAAGCAATTAGGTGTGCTGGTTTTTACAGTACAACAATTTCAGTTACTGTACATATTATGTAACTGAAGAACAGTTGGCGTTTCCAGATCGTACTGCCAATTAGCTCACATTTCAATAAAAACAGACAATTTGCCATCTGGTTTTGTTTGGGAAACGAAAACAAAATTAAAGCTATAATACAAAGTGACATTTGCATTGATGCTATGAAAAACTGCCACTGCCACATTAAAAAGTGCATCCCCCCCAACTCCCAAATGTTCAAACTTCCTTCAGAAATCAGACAAATCCTCTTAAGGACAAATAAGATCTCTCTCTCTCTCTCTCTCTCTCTCTCTCTCTCTCTCTCTCTCTCTCACACACACACACACACACACACACACACACACACACAAACACACTGTCTTGGAAGCCACTGCCAGTTCCATGTACCAAGATAGGAAGTTGAATCATGACTTTCCTTTTTTGAAGAAGAGCTGGAGGAAAACATCTCATCTTGATAGCAAACACCATTCACCGCATCATGAGGACATAGCAACTGATGCTGGTCATACTTGTCCTGTGCTCATTTTTTGTTTTTTTGTTTGCAATTTCTCTGAAGTTCAGTTTTCTTTATACACTCAGTTTCTCCAAGCAAGAGAACAACAAATTAAAAACCAGTTTTTTTTTCCTTTTCCTTTCTTAAAGGATGAAGGAACAAGTCACCGATGCTGCTCATGGCAGTTCCTTACCAGGCAGCTTCAAGTATTTACAATACAACCTGTTTAGGTTACTTCTACATATTAATGGGGTACTATTAACAACGTGGTTCTCATGACAACCACCTGCCATCATCACCTGGGCCTCACCAATCCATTTGCAACAGTCCCTGATCAACCATTTCTTTTTTTTCTGAAAGGCACTTGACATACAAGACCAATGCTGTCTCGGTAGAGATTCATTCACTGGATTGTGCATTTCTCTCTCTCCCTTGTTTGCCCTTCTCTAAGGACTTTAGACTTGATATATTTCAAGTCGCTGTTGACACTGGGCCTACGAGCAAAGGGGGAAATCATGCCATAGGCATCTGTCTCTTTGACCCTGTGTATCTTGAAAGACTTTTGGTGAAAGGTGTCACCGTACTGGACAGAAATCTTCCTGTGAAGGGCAGGGCTCATCTCATGGGGCAGCTTGGCCATGCTGAAAAGAACATAGAACATCTCGTTCACGTTGGTATTCTTCTTGGCCGAGACTTCAAAGTAAGCACAGTTCTCATCGCTGGAGACAAGCTTCTCGCCTTCTTCAGAGCTCACCTGACGGTAGAGTTCACCGTGGTCATTCTTGTTGCCACAGATCACCATGGGAAGGTCTCCCGTTTCCTTGGTCTTGTTCTTCAAGCATGATTTGACTTCAAGGATCTGCTTCTGGAGCCTCTTGACTTCATCAAAAGATTCACGGCTATCCAGACTGAACACTAAGATGAACACATCCCCTGTGTAACATGTCAAAACAAAACAAAACAGAACAAAAGCAAAGGGGGGGGGAAACGGAGAGGAGGGAGGAAGGAAGCAATCTGTTATAACCTATTTAAAGACCTACACAGCAAAGAGTCTTGCTTATTCGAGATATTCTGTGCTATAACCCAAATAATCAGAAAAGAGATGTTCGGATTTAAAAAAAAAAACACTTTAGGAGATACAGAGTATAAAGAATATAATGACCAAGATCCAGGGATATCCAGCACCAGGGGATCCCAGTTATTTTCTTCCACCCACTACAGCTTTCCTTGGCTTCAAAATCTTGCCCCAAAAGATATCTCAGTCCTGTCCTCAAACCACTTCTAAGGATGATCTGAAGAGTTTCAGGAGGGAGGGAGGAATCAGTGATTCTGGTAGAAGCAGTGTGATCCAACAGCTGGATCTGACTGATGAATTAAGATACCTAGGATTTTAACAAAATAATATTTCGCAGAATGATGTATCACAGTTTTTGGGGGAGCAGTCTCCCATTTTTCTCTTCCCATGGCAAGCATTAATTTATTTTCTCAATACTATTTTTAAATTCAGTGGAAAATTGTTATGGCCGCTACTTTGTCTGCCATGTGTAGCTTTAGGAGCCAAGCATGAGGTCCTTCCCAGCAACCAACTTTTATATATATTAAGCTATGGTTAAAAGCTTCCATAGCATTATCCAAAGATAGATATTGTTCTAAAAGGCTGGAGGCTCTAAGATGCACCTTACTTAGCTTAGGACATAACCGGGATAGTGAATAAAGCAGGTCTGTCATAAGTCCTTATATAGGGGGAAGGTAAAGGTAAAGGTTCCCCTTGACAATTTTTGTCCAGTCGTGTTCGACTCTAGGGGGTGGTGCTCATCTCTGTTTCCAAGCCATAGAGCCAGCGTTTTGTCCAAAGACAATCTTCCGTGGTCACATGGCCAGTGCGACTTAGACACGGAACGCCATTACCTTCCCACCGAGGTGGTCCCTATTTATCTACTCGCATTTGCATGCTTTCGAACCGCTAGGTTGGCGGGAGCTGGGACAAGCGATGGGTGCTCACTCCGTCGCGTAGATTCGATCTTACGACTGCTTGGTCTTCTGACCTGCAGCACAGGCTTCTGCGGTTTAGCCCGCAGCAATATGTAAATATATATTCATGACAGACCCACTTTATTCACTATCCCAGTTATGACCTAAGCTAAGTAAGGTGCATCTTAGAGCCTCCAGCCTTTAAAACAATATGTATCTTTGGATAGTGCTGTGGAAGCTTTTAACCATAGCTTAAGGACTCATCATGTATTAATCCACCCTGCCTGCAATGCAAAAAAATATCAAAAAACCCTCAGCTGTTTTGAATTGGGAAAACTTGAATGGCCACTGATAACCCAAACACCCACTCACAAAAAAAATCATCTAACCTGTGAGTATGGAAAGTCTCCTCATGGCAGGGAATGGATGATTCCCAGACGTATCCAAGATGTCAAGCTGATACATGTCACCCCGGATGTTGTAGACTTTGCGATGAAAATCCTCAATGGTGGGCGTGTATTGGTCATCAAAGCGGCCATTGAGGAACCGTGAGACAATGCTGCTCTTGCCAACCCTGGAGGCTCCCAGCACAACCATGCGGTAGGAGTTCTTGGCTGGCACATTCAGTGTGCAGTTCCCACTGGACACAGTCTTCATCATTGCTTAGGTCTGAAGGGATACAAAAAGAAAACATTTTTATTGTTGACGCTGAACAGAAATGGCAGAAAGAGACAACAGACTAAGCAATATGGAGACTCTAGATTATAAACTCGCAACTAGAATACGCTAGTGACCTACACTGATCATTGCTAACTGAATAACACAAAATCACATTTGAAATCATATTTCAGACCAATGGAGTCTACATACTACTGGTTTCTTACAATGGTCAAGATAAGACATTACAGTTTGCATATCATATTAAGCATAATAATAATTATCTGCCACCAAGTCAATTCAGACTTAGCGACCCTTCCAAGGTTTTCCAGGTAGAGGATACTCAGAAGTGGTTTACCCTTCCCTTCTTCTCTGGGCACTCAAGAACCAAGCAGCTTGCGCAAGGCCACACAAACTGACTCTTCTCCCTGTAGACACAGCGGGGAATCAAATTCTGCAAGCCAGTTACCTAAACTACAAAGCCATCCAGTTAGGCATTAGAAGCATAGCTCCCTTAAAAGGTAAAATATATATGTTTTAACATGAATTTGCTTCGATCCACATTGTGCAAATTACGTTGCTTTTATTTTGTGATTAATCACTGAGAAATAAACACAAGCTTCATTTGCAAGTCTCTTCGTGCTTTGAAAGATAACATGCCTAGATGGTAATCTGTAATAGCAAGAAATTTGCATTTCTCTTAACATTCGTGCCCAATCCTAGACTTAATTTTTTTTCCTGATTGGGAAACTAGATTAGCAAAACCTATATTCTCAAGCAGCTACTGGGGGAGGAACAATGGACATGAATTAATAGCCCTGTTGCTAATCTAGATTAAAGCTGAAAGGAAAGTCTGATGCTGCACAAGATGTACAATCAGAACATGGAACATGAGAAGTATGAATCAAGTTAAACTGGAAACTATAAAGCAAGAAATGGAAGTATGAACATTATAGTGCTTGGTGTCAGTGAACTAACATGGACTGGAATACTTTACGATGTTTTTAGTCATGCAACTGCAAAGTGTTTTACTCTGGAACTGCTAAATCCAGAAAAAATGGAGTGGCTCTAATAGTGAGGCAAGATATAGCAGAGGCAATTGAGTTATAATGCAAGGTCTGACTTCTTAAGTAGAGACCCCACTGTATGTTTTTAGTCATGCAACTGCAAATTGCTAAATCCAGAAAAAATGGAGTGGCTCTAATAGTGAGGCAAGATATAGCAGAGGCAATTGAGTTATAATGCAAGGTCCGACTGCATGATAATATCCATCAGATTCTGGGGAAAATCAATCAACATAACCGTCATTCAAATCTGTGCTTCAACTACTGATGGTGAAGAAGATGAAACTGAAAGCTTTTATGGCATCTCAGAGGAAATTGCTCACACACCAAACCAAGACTTGCTTATAATTGTAGGTGACTGGAATGCAAAAGTAGAGAATGAAGCAGAACCAAATGTTGCATGAAAATTTGGCCTAGGGGTCAGCAATGAAGCAGGAGAATGATTCATAAAGTTCTGCAAAGCCAACAATCTGTTAATTACAAATGCATGATTCAAGCAACTGAACAGGTGGCTGTACATGGGGACAACACCAGACTGTAAAGAAGGAAATCATATAGACTATATAACTGGAATGAGAAGATGGAGAATCTGTGTTCTCTCTTTCAAAACAAGATCGGGAGCAGATCTTGATACTGATCATGAACTGTTAATATCCAACATTAGAGTAAAGCTGAAAAAGTACATTATAGTCTCAACATGTAATTTAAACAGCATTTCTGATGAATTTAAAGTGTACATAAGGAACAGATTTGCATTACTAAACTCAATTGACCATGAACCAGAAAAGTGTTGGGTTGAAACCACCAATATTGTTAGGGAAGAATACAAAGGCAGTTCCTGTAGTAAAAAGAAAAGGAAAAACTAGATGGATGATGGAAGAAGCTCTTAAAATTAAAAAGGTAAGACAAACAGCAAAAGTAAAAAGCGGCAGAAATAGAGTCGGAATCCTTAATGCAATTTTTTCAGAAACTGTCACATAGAGACAAAGAGATATATTACAGTAACCAGTGCAAAGAAATAGCAGAGAAATACAAAAAGGGGAAAAATAAGCAATCTCTTCCAGAAAATCCTAAAAATTAAAGGGAAATTTAAAGTGAGATAAGAAATACTGAATGATCAACAGGAAAGCACACCATTTGACCAAGAGAAAATAAAGCAAAGGTGGCAACAGTCTCCCGAAGACCTATATAGAAGAGATGAAAGGATGACAGATCCCTTAGAAGAGGAATCCTGTGTTGAAGAACCTGCAGTTCTAGGAAGTGAAGTGAAGGCTGCTCTGAAAGCACTAGGAAGAACTAAATCAACAGGGGAAGATGGAATACTGACAGAACTCTGTCAGGATCCGTAACAAGAATATGTCAACAAATATGGGAAACGAAACAATAGCTCACAGACTGGTAATGTTCAACATACATTCCAATCCCTAAGAAAGGAGATGCCAAGAAGTGCAGTAATTTATAAGACTACTGCTCTAATTTTCCATGCAAGCAAAGTGATGCTCAAACTATTGCAACAAAGGCTTTTACCTTTATAGCGCTGCTTTACATCAGAGGTGACTTGACAAATGAAACAATAGTGGTAATGATAACGCAGTGGAAAACATATATTCTTTGTTTCTTTTTATTAAAATAATGATGTTTCACAGCATTATCAGCCTTTGTCTGCATCTTCCTATTCACAGATAAGACAATAAATGAGAGAGACCACAGTACTAAGTCTGCCAATCAGTGAAAAGTACAGAATTTCAGCCACACCCTCCAGCCCACAGCACAACAAGAAATGTAACAAGTGTCCTCATTGGAAAGGTCATACAACAATATCAAATATTGAAATCTATCAACAATCATGTCAGATACATACTGTAAGTATTTGATGGCTATCTGAAGATCACTTGGCATAGGAATAATTTTATAAGAAATTTTTGTTAAAACCTCTGAGCCCAATTGACATGTCTTTTCTACTAGTGATAAACTGTGGAGTACCGCACACATCATGACACAACTGCACGGCCAAGAAGATTCTAAAAGCCCAGAGAACTGTGTTGATCCATGGCATTGGACCAGTTCTAGGAGTTTTCTTTTCCACCAGGAGCAGAGCTTTTGTAAATCTAAAATATCTTAATGGTCCATTCATGACCAAGCCAATTCAAAAGAAACAAAAATCTTGGATCACAACAGGGGTAGTTCATAGCAATACATTAGTGCTGGGAAAATATATCTGTTCAATCGGAGCTGCTGTGAGAACAATATAAAACACTGAAATCAAATAATAAGTAATAAAATAGATTAGCACACAAAGATACGAGTAACTTAGAGAAATAGACTCTCTCTCTCTGAGTATGTGTAATATATGTGTGTACATGTATGCATGTGCACGTGTGCGTGCACGTGTGCATGCATTCACATGTCTGCCTGTGTGGTGTTTTAATATAGGAGAAGTTTTGTATTTGAAGCCACGAGAAACATAGTTGAGGGGAATCATTTTCTTCTAATTGAAATCTGCCTGCTGAACAATTTCTCCTCAAGGATACAAACCCCGTTGCTCGAACTACTTAATGAGCTTGATAAGAAGCCGGGAGCAAGACCTATTAACTTGTTTTCCACCTGAACTTTGTTGTAGATAGATGTGTAGATGCACATGTTTTAGACACATGTGCTGCGTAATTTAATTTTCTTATTTCTTTTTCTTTACTTGCTGCTCACTCACAACCCAGCGGCTTTCAGGACATTGCTACTAGTTGGCCAAGAGAAAAATTTGCCTAAGGAAACAGACTTCTGAAATGTACATATGGGTGAGCATGTATACCTGTAGCATTCACAGCGTTTACTTGGCAACTGAATTGGCTGGAGGCCTTTTAAAAAAATAAAAGACGATGTGCAGGGCCATCTAAAGCCATTCACTGCATACAATTAGAGGTGGATCAGCTCCAAGGAGCAGTTGTGTAGTGGCAAGTTTTGAAGTACAGGTACTCATCCTGAAAGTCACCATAAGAACATCCCCAAGGATACTCCACAGGTACAAGCAGTTACAATGATGCAGAGCAGCAAACAAGTTTTGGCAACTGTTTTGTTCATCGGGAGGAGGTAGTTTGTAAAACCAACAGAATTTTAATTTCCTATTCAAAAGCAATTCAAATCAAAACACAACAAACATAGCGATCGCAAAATACTCATCGTTAAGCGATTTCCTCATCTAACAAGGTAATCGTCAAGCGGGGCACCACTGTACTTGTTTGCAAGTAGTTCCCACTGAGTGGATTTACTTCCTGATCAATATTCTTTAGATTACAACCTTAATCATAATGGCATCAATCACCTGTTTATTAGTACGGCCGACTTATCCATCCACTGGTTGAAATGCACCAGTCACCCTTACCAGTTTTGTGTGCATCCGTAACATGGACCATCTTTCCCCTACTAAGCCCTTTTTGGAACCTCTGGTCTACTGAGCAGGAAAAATCCACAGCAAACTACAAAAATGAGTCCTGTGATGCAGTGGTTAAACTGTGATACTGCAGCCAAACCTCTGGTCACAACCTGAGTTTGATCCCGATCGATTCAAGTGGGTGGCTCAAGGTTGACTCAGTCTTCTATCCTTCTGAGGTTAGTAAAATGAATACTTGGCATGCTGGGGGGGGGGCAAAGTGTTCTTTGCCTAATTATGTTGTGGGAGTGTTCTAGCACTACGGGGCAGTGTATAAGTTCAAACAACAACAACGGCAACAATCATATGGTATCAGCTCAAAATACTCTGTGTTTCCCTTGTACTGAACAATGAAATGCTTTGGAAAAATTGTTAGACAACATGCTTGATTTCATAACAGTCCTTCAATTAGATCACCCTCAGTCCACCAAACCATCAGGGAAGGCTGCCTTTACCTTTCCACCACTATTTGAGAGATGCTGTCCTAAAGACATGTAAGGTCTAAGTGCAGAAAAAATGTGTTTGCCAACATGTCTACGTCCTTGATGTACTCATTATGGAGCCATAGCTGGCTGTAGCCTAGCTATTGGTGAACTTGAATTTACGTCTGCATTGCATGCAAAAGAGCAAAATGATGTTTTAACTCCCATGAACCCTTAGAACACGACTACTGACTTCATAATCCTGACATTATGTTTCCAAAATTTCTGTTTCTATTTAGTGTGGATACTAAAACAAAGGGCAAGGGGATTTTAAGACTTGTTTTAGAGAATAATTGTATTGTTCAGAGGCTTCCAGTTCTTCTCTGAAATAAAATGTACACTCCTGCATGTCTTATTGTACTATGAAAGTGCAGGTTTTAAAGAAAATGTTTATGCTATTGAAATACAGAAATTTGTCTAGTGAGGACTAAAAAATGCCCAAGGATTCTGTGCTTGACTTGTGGATTGTTTGTTGCTTACCCTTGCTTTCCCATTTATATTCTCACATCTCATATTAGAGTGGCGAGCCTTCCTACTCATTGTTTTGTGTAAACCCCACAGAATTCAGTAGGATTAACATATACATAAAAACACTTAATATTGCACTGTGAAATGTTTTCCTGGAAAATGTTTGGGATTCCTCATATCCAGTTACAGTACTTTATTCCTGGTTAATGGTCAATAGAAAGGGCAGATCCTAACAAACTAAAGACACATTTTAAAGCTGTTATCTACCAATAAACTATCCAATTATAGCAATTAATTGATCAATATTATGTGCCCTATTTAAATATAAGCTCACTCAAGCAGTTTTTTTGCACTGAAATCCTCTGTTGTTGTTTTTAACTGAAATCCTACAAAACGTGCACCATATGAACATATTGTTGTAAGCCTGTGGTGTACGCATAACAGCTTAATCTATATAATCGGTCTTTGTGACGTAAGCCTCTATTTTCAATTCACAAGTGTGGACGTCCATTTGCCCGAAATGCAGCCAATGTTGTATTGCCTTTATATTTTGCATCCTCACAGTTTTTATTCCTTAGCTCCTTCAAAGCACCTTCCTTTTCAGCATTTTCCAGCAACATTATATTCCAGAGATGAAACACATTTAAGATGGGAGGATAACTTATTTAAAGGATAAGTCAATAAGGATATTGATACCTAATAACTAAGCCCAGAATTTCTGATCTCAGCCTCCCACTGTACGTCCTCTATTAAGTATTGCCAGTTTTCTTAGTAGAAGTCTACAAATGTGTAGTTGGCTAGGTAACTCAGTGCTATAGGTCTCTGGCAAAGGTTGTGTGTTCAATATCCCATTGTGCTTCTTGGGAGAAGAGTCAGCCTGCGTGGCCTTGGGCAAGCTGCACAATTCCAGGATGCCCCCAGAAGAAGGGAAAGGTAAACCATCTCTGAGTATTCTTTATCTGGAAAACCAGATAAAGGTTTTCCAGATTAAAAAAAAGTTCACCATAAATCAGAACTGACTTGATGGCATGCAGTTATTATTTTTAAAACTGTATACTCAAAAAGTGGATGAACTGAATAGAGAGAGAGAGAGATTTTCACCATATTTGAATTTCATTAGCACTGTCTAAAAATACTTTTGACAACCTAATTTCATTTGTCTCATTATTCTGAAAGGGCTTCTAAGCATCCTGTCCTTTGCTTTGCTTTTAGTACTATGCACAGCAATTCACTGCCTTCAGCACTTTGATCTCTGCAGCCACTATTCTTTGCATCCTCCCCTAACATCTGCAAGAAAAGTCAGATGTGCTCTCCAGAATGGTTGTCTTTCATGCGCTGTGCAGGCTGTATTTTTGCTTGCCTCTCTTTCAAGTCCCTGCAGCCTTTTCTTACTCATTGAAGTCACCTTTATTGACTCACGGCTGGGTGTATGCATTGGCGGCTTCTCCTTGTGTGTGTGTGTTTATAAAGCACTGCAAAGATGAGCACCCCCCCAAAGCTTTAACGATTAACAATAGATACAAAATTAGGCATCTAGACTTTGACCCAGGTGCAGAAAGAGGAAGTGAAGGAGGGGCGAGGTTGCAGACAAACAAACCCTCCTCTGTATAACTTACACTTTTTCTTTCCCAACTCCAAGAGTTTAATTAGCAGATCTGTCTCCCAAAGATTTTAAAAACCTTTAACTGATCTAAGGAAACCAGATACTGGCTCATGCCTTCCCTTGGAATGCCAGTATTTTCTTCCAAGCAAATGTTTCATCTCGTTTCAGGAGGCATCCTCATCATCTCCGTCACCATCCATAGCACCACCGCCACTAGCATCTTAATAGGAGCCGCTGAGGCACAGAGTGTATAAATGCTTGGCCATTAGGTCTTGAACAAGCTGGTGGCAAGTTTAATTGCCAGCAATAATTCCCCTCCCGTTTTCTGGAAGCCTTTCAGCCTTCACTCAGAAGTGGTTTACCATTCCCTTATTCTGGGGCCATTACCCGGACGGTACAGCTTGCCCAAGGCCACACAAGCTGGCTTTTCGGGAATGCCCAGTGGGGAACTGAAGTCCCAACCACCGGCTCTGCAGCCAGATACCAATATTTTAAAACGTCTATGAAAGCGCCAGCGGTCAGACATCACCTATAAAACTGCTCAGGAATAAGACTGTGCTGTAGATACACCTAACCTGCGCCCAAACCCTGCCTTTTGGGTCGGCTTTTCAAAACAAAACAGAAGCCCCTGATCCATATCCTTCCTGCGCCCAAATGCTGGGTTTCACCGCCTTTGACTCCGGTGTCCAGCTCGACCGCTCCAGACAACACCTGGAGTCTCGATCCGGGCAAGCTGGTCTTTGCTTGACTTTCGTTCCCACGTCTCTGGGTAGCTAGACGAGCAAGACGGAGAAAGCATCACAAATGACGCAGGATCGTCCTTGCCCGGAGAGTCCTTGAAAACATCTTTTTTAAAAAAAATCTGGAGCTTGCTGTTCGACCCTAGTGTCTTGCATCTAAGTACTGAACGCGCTTCCACTTACCTTTATTCTCTCTTTGGAAAAGGGGAATTTTTTTCCTCTGGCGGTCAGCAGCGGCGGCGGTTCAGGGCGTCGGGACTCGCCGCAGCAGTAGCTGCTGGGGCTTCAGCCGGATGCTTCCTGGCGAAAACTCCTGGTGTCTTTCCCTGCCTCCGTGGGCTCTAAGCAGGGACAGCCAAGCGGGCTTCGGTGGCTGCCTTCCCTCCGCTCCCGCGCCCCCTTCAGAGACTTGTCTGTATTAGCAGACACGCATGGTTCAAAGTTTTGTGTCGCTCAAGGCAACGGACTCGCCCTTCCTCTCCTGGAATTCGGCGGAGCGCTTCTCTCTCTCTGTCTCTGGAGGGCCTCGCTTTCTCTCCCCGCGAGTTTCAGCTCACTCCGGCACCGTCTTGCGCCTCCCCAGCCTTGCCGGCTGACTTCCTCGCCCCGCCGCTCGCGGTTCTAGAAAACGCACTCGGGGGCTCGGGGGCGACCTCTATCCCTCGGAATTGGGGACTGCCTCTCCCGCACCTGCACCCCCTTCCTGCTCATCATCCCCCACCCCAAAGGGGAACAACCAACCACCACCAAGCACTCTAAAGTAAACCAACAAAGCAGTCCAATCTCTGTACTGCCCTGGGGGCGGGGGCGGGAGGATGTTTGTTTTCCAAAAGACCCCCGTTTTACGTTTTTCACTATAAAAAAGTGAAAAACAAGTTTTTTTGGGTTACACGTTTTCTCTCTCTCTCTCCCCCCCCCTTTTCTCTCTTTTCAGCCTCTGCTAAATTCTAGGTCTCTGTCTGGTGATAATGACCTCCTGCCTCTCTCAGTTGTTGTTCAAGGATGGTGGCCAAGGGGGGTGGGATCTGGTGGAAGGGCAGGAGGAGACTTTAGATCAAAGCAAAGGGTTTTTGTTTTGTTTTCCTTTTACAGACTCAAGACTATTATGTGGTCTTCTTCTTTGCCCATGCTCTTTATCTGAACAGGCAGGAGCCAAAGATGGGAGGATGGTGCAAGGATGCTCCGTCCCTCCCTATGACCACCAATCACTCTCACAAAATAAGCGAGCATCCATGCTGGGGACCACCATGCTTCTCGCATCAACCTTCTAAAAGTGAATCTATCTTTTCATCTCCTAGTGGGAAGCAAGCTGACTGAGGGACCTAATAAGGACATCTCTGCCTTCTGCAATTCAGCAGCTGTGGCTTTTCTTTTGGAAGGGATGATTCCCTTCTTGCAATATTTAGCTAGCTAACCAAGTTTAATCAGGAGCTGGATAATACTGAGGCTCGTGAATGACTTGGGATTTTATTTCCAGAGCTAGCTTCCTTGCGAGAAAACTACACTACTCATTGCTATTAATGACCAGATCTTGATCTGAGAGGGCCAAGCAATGCTGCCTACAATGACCGGTACATCACTCACAACCTCCAGAGGCACCTCTTGTCCGGTCCTCATTGGTCTAGCTCCCTTGTTCACCTTTCCTCCTGGCTCCCATAACAGAGCATCCTTAGCTAACATGGCCACTGGAAAATGGATGCGGTAACTTGGTGCATCTTGGGAAAAGCTGCTTTAGTAGTATGGCTGTTCAACCCCAGAGGAGACAATAGGAGTCAGTGACTTCCTGGCTTAAGGCAGCTTCATCTCTTAAAATGACATGAAATGGGAATGCTCCTGGAAATGGTTTTCCTTTTAGTAGCATAGGCATAGGCATCCTTCAGTCTCGAGAGACTATGGTAACATGCTCTGAATCGAGGAGTGTCCTCTCCAGAGCATGAAGCCCAGGTAAGGTAATATGGAGGATAGGCTGTCACCCAAGCAGCAGATCCCCGCTCTCCACATTGCTGAAATGGTCCAATGGAAAGGCAAGAGCCAATACAACTGGTTCCAGCAATGTCGCAGGAGTTGGCAGAACGACAGATGCTGCCTTCGGGACTCCAGCTCCGGATTTTGCCTCGAGGTTAACTCCTGAAGCCTTTTCCATGAGTGGATATAGCCGCAAGGCAGCAGAAGTTTGAAATCGGAGTTTTCCTTCTCCTAGATGGGCTGCCTTCCATGGCTGACGAGCCCCACCTACCCGGCCTGCTCTTTAGTAGTGCAAAAGTCTGATCTGATCCTTAAAACTTTCTTGGCGCCCTGGCTTATACAAATATAATTGGCTTTCCTATTTACCATATTAAGGCCAGATACAAAATTTGAGAATTTCGCAGCCCAGCTTCCTAGGGAAAAGGGTCCAGGGTCCTGGGACACGCTCTTTTAAAGCAGGAAGTCCTTTTAGTAATTCCTCTTAAAATGTTAGTTTGGGTAAGCTTAAGACCCATGCTACTCAACTGCTCCTGGCCTCTTTTTTTTAAATACCAATGCACCAACATTAACCATATTGGTTAGTTTGTTGGACTAGGATACAACTATGGGCATGATGGTCTTTGCACATTAGTGCCATGTCCAAAAATCTGCAGAAATGCTTTAGTTTGTAAAATCTTTCTGTATTCAGTTTTTAATCACCCATTACTCACAAACTCCTACATATTCTACCATTCACATGGTAGATCCATGCAATATAGCTTGTTTTCATTGACACACAGAGATACACTTACCATTTACTGTATTCAGTTTTTATCTTAGACACCCATTACTCACACACTCCTACAAACATACTGTAGATTCACATGGTAGGTTCATGCAATATAGCTTGCCTTTATTACATGAAACATTCATTTCATTGAGTCTGCTCTAAGAATGGCTTTGTCTAGATCCAGCCCAGTGTTTTTATGTGTTCTATATTTACTGGATAACTCAGTGGTTTAGGTATCTGTCTGCAGAGCTAAAGGCTGGGAGTTCATTTCCCCATTGTGCCTCCTGTGAGTAAAGCCAGTCTGCCTGGCCTTGGACAAGCTGCACAGTCTCATGGTGCCCCCAGAACAACAAGGGAATGGTAAACCACTTAATATTCTCTGCCTGTAAAACCATGAAAAGGGTTTCCATAACTCAGAATTGACTTTATGACACATCAGCAGCAGCATCCTACATTGGCTATGATGGCTAGGCCTAATGGGAAGTCTGATACTACCGTGGCTGGAATGTACCTATGCAATCTATCATGCCCTTAAGTATGACTGACTGACTCTAAGCTGAGAATCAATTTTTCCTCCACATGAAAATTCTGCAAATTCTTCCTGATCTTCCCAAGTCTCAAAGCCAAATGTAGTAGCTGTAATCCTGTTGCTTGGTGTAATAAATGGCACTAGAATAAACACTAGGCCAGGGGGGGGGGGGTTGATCAGCCAACTCTATAACTTCCATTGATTCAAATCAGCCTTCTCTATTTACAATTTACTATATTAAATGTCCAAAAGATCATGGCCACTGGTCCCATCACCTCCTGGCAAATAGAAGGGGAAGATATGGAGGCAGTGACAGATTTCACTTTCTTGGGCTCCATGATCACTGCAGATGGTGACAGCAGCCCCGAAATTAAAAGATGCCTGCTTCATGGGAGGAAAGTGATGACAAACCTCAATAGCATCTTAAAAAGCAGAGACATCACCTTGTCAACAAAAGTCCGAATAGTCAAAGCTATGGTTTTCCCTGTAGTGATGTACGGAATTGAGAGCTGGACCATAAAGAAAGCTGACCTCCGAAGAATTGAGGTTTTTGAATTGTGGTGTTGGAGGAGGCTCCTGAGAGTCCCCTGGACTGCAAGGAGAACAAACCTATCAATTCTAAAGGAAATCAAGCCTGAGTGCTCACTGGAAGGACAGATCCTGAAGCTGAGGCTTCCATACTTTGGCCATCTCGTGAGAAGAGAAGACTCCCTGGAAAAGATGCTGATGTTGGGAAAATGTGGAGGCAGGAGGAGAAGGGGACGACAGAGGATGAGATGGTTGGACAGTGTCATTGAAGCAACCAACATGACTTTAACCAAACTCCGGAAGGCAGTGGAAGACAGGAGGGCCTGGCGTGCTCTGGTCCATGGGGTCACCAAGAGTCAGACACGACTAAACGACTAAACAACAACAAAAATGTTAAATGCACCCAGAGTAAGTTAAAGGTAAAGGTTCCCCTTGACAATTTGTCCAGTCATGTCCAACTCTAGGGGGGCAGTGCTCATCTCTGTTTACAACCCATAGAGCTAGTGTTTGAAGACAATCTTCTGTGGTCACGTGGCCAGCGTGACCAGACACGGAATGCTGTTACCTTCCCAATGTGGTGGTACCTATTTATCTACTCGCATTTTGCATTTTGCATGCTTTCGAACCATTAGGTTGGCTGGAGCTGGAACAAGCAATGGGGGCTCACTCCGTCATGTGGATCTTACGACTGCAGGTTCTCCTGACCTTGCAGCACAGAGGCTTCTGCATTTTAACCTGCAGCGCCACCATGTCCCAGAGTAGGCCTATTTAAAATGAAAATTATGAAGGAGTTCATTCACCAAATCCCTTTTGATTCAGTGGGCCTACTCTAGTGTAATTTACTACAGCAGCATTTTAGTGTGTTAAGTGGTCTCCCCATTTGGGTTGTAACTTCAGAGCCTTTGCTGCCATAAGAACTGCTGGATAGCTCAGTGGTTTAGGCATCTGGCTGAGAGTTCGATTCCCTGCTGTGCCTCCTTGACAGGGGCTGGATTCAATGGTCCATAGGGTCCCTTCCAGCTCTGCAGTTCTAAGATCTGCGATAAAAATTGCTGCTGACTGTCTCTGTGACTGCACACATCATATTTCTGCATGCAAGTATGCACTTGAAAAGACAAAGATTACTGGATTAAAGGTGTATATACTATGATGTGTGCACTGTAAATAAGCCATTAATTAGTCTGTCATGTGATCCTAATCTTATGAGCTTGTTTCTTCCACCTTCTGTATATTCAGTCTGCCTATAAGGATGGACACATCATGAAGGTAGGGAATAATAGCGTGTGTTGCGTGTGTAGGAAATGATGAGAAGCTGCTTGTTTCAGACTACATTTAAGCAATGATGTGCAATAGACACAATCTGTTATTGTTTGCTGGTCTCTCATCTTCTTACATACATGGAACGTGCATTGTCAATCCAGGAAAAAATGAAGAGCAAGTGAGGAAGACTGAAGAAAGAGAGAGAAATAGAAATAGAACACAGATGTCTTCTTATAGAGAATCAAAGGTCAGCAGGCATGGATGCAATTTCACACACTCTGGGGAAAAAAAGGAAGGGAAACATGGAAGGGAAGCTCAAAGCGTATGGATCATAATATGAAAGCATCTGGCTAAAGCCAAAATGGAGGCGGATGAAATTTGTGGAGAAAGCATTAGGCAAAACAAAAAGCTGAGAAATTAGCTGGGACACATGAAAAATGTATGAACCCCAGTCTCTAATGATGCAGCTTTCTGCAGCGCATGTGATGTTGTTTTATGGCAGGTAGCTCTATTTTGGGCTCCGTTATGATGTGTCTTGTAATACGCACATACACTTCCCAGCTGCTGATGGGTCAACTTTGACAATGTAAACATGTTCATGTGCTGGGCTCCA